AAAAAAAAAAAAGAAAAAGAAAGGAAGGAAAGGAGAGAAAGAAAGGGAGGAAGGAAGAAGAGGAAGAGGGGAAGAGAGAGAGAGAGAGAGAGAGAGAGGGAGGGAGGGAGGGAGGGAGGGAGGCATTCCTAAGATGTCTAAGCATGATTTTCCCAATCTAGAATAGGCCCCCACTTTCTTGGATCTCCCCATTTCTCTCAGTAGTGGGCTGACTCCTAAATTAGGCCCCAACTTCTTGACTCTTGCTTTCTCTATGCCCCCATCTTTTCTACCTGATTTCAGATGTGCACCTGAGATCCTTCAGGGGCAATGACTGGTTGGGATCTGGCTAAAGGAAGTGGTCAGGGTTCCATGGTAAAGACCAGTACCCCACTGTCTATTTAAGAGGCCCAAATGCAACTTGCCCCGCCCCCCATGCTCCCAGGAGGAGCCCAAGAGGGCTCCCATTACAGGGACAAGGCAGCACCAGCTTTGTGTTCGGAAGAGGTTTTCAACTGCTGGCTGCTCAGCTCAAGACTTGCAACAAGGAGTGTCGTGGGGTTGAGCCTCTCCACCCATGCGTATCCGCCAGCATAGGCAGAAGAAGCCAGCCATGTAGACTTCAGGATGTCTGGCTGCTTGCCCTGACCGGGGTTGAGGGATGCATTCCACTCCCGCCTCCCTCTGTGAGGCATAACAGTGTTGACTCCACTGGGGCAGGGCCGTGGCCAGACCCAGGACCCCATGCTGGTCTAAAGACCTCTGGCGGTTCCTTGCACCCTGCCTGTTCCTTCCTGCCCCTCCAGGGTTCCTTCCCTCCCTCCCCCTCCCCCCAGGCCCTGTCATCTGTCCCCTGGCACACCTGGCCTTGGCAGCCCTGCCCCCCAACACCTCAACTTACATCTCTCCTCACAACATTGGTGACGTCTTCCAAGTACTTCAGTCTTCCCTCTTCCGAACCAGAACCACTTTCCAGAAAGCCCAAACTCTCAAGCTCTGGAGAGAGGACAGACAAGATGGACACAGAGAACCGGGGTGACATGGGCTCTGTCCCCGCAGAGTGGGGACGGATCCGCGACAGTGCGATCCATTTCCTGCTACAGAGCAGCAGCTTGATCTTTTCTGGCATCGGAGCCCAAGGACAGACTTCCTGAGGGTTACTTTGTGAAAGTCAAGAAATGGGTTGCAAAACTGCATTTCTGAGCTGTGCTCTCACTCGCTGGCTTAGGCCACCAGTGGGGCTGTGGCTTCCCTGGTGGTGCCATGTTTGAACCAGAGTGACATACAGAGCAGGTGAATTTCCTTCAGATCCCAAGAATGAGAGTTTGGGCGAGTTGAGCTGGGTGTCCTAAAGGTATAGTGATGCAATTGTAACTACCGCGTGGGTGCTTGTGATACACCGTGGGGGGTCACTGGCTGCGCTCCTGGTGGTATCAGCAGTGGGATATGCTTTAGCCAGAGAACAGAGCGCCTTCAGGGCTCTGTGCTCGGTGGGCACATACATGGGGATCAGGACAGTCTAAGGGGCAGGACTCCAGAAGACATAACTTGGGAGATTCAAGTATAGAAAGAGGGTTCAGGAAGATGAGGCGGCAGGGGGAGCCTATCTGGGGGAGCCCAGCTGCTGGAACCCAGTCTTCTCACCAGCAGTAGCTCCCCTCTACCCTGGCGGGCTTGTCCCTTTCCCCTCCCTGCCTCCTCTTGGGGAGCTGGGACCTTCGCTCTTGCTTGGGTGCACAGTTGGGGGCTTTCTCTGGTTGTCAGATCCTTTCGTGGGATACTCAATTCCCTCAGTTCCAGAAGTCTGAGGAAGAAATTCAACTGGTATTTTTTATTTTCTCTTTCTTTCTTTCTTTCTTTCTTTCTTTCTTTCTTTCTTTCTTTCTTTCTTTCTTTGTTTTTTTGTTTTGTTTTTCAAGACAGGGTTTTTCTGTGTAGCCTTAGCTGTCCTGGAACTAGCTGGCCTCAAACTCACAGAGATCGCCTGCCTCTCTATCTCCGGAATGCTGGATTAAAGGCATGCGCCACCGCTGCCCAACTCAACTGGCATTCTATTCTCAAGCCCCGCTCCACACCTCAGATGCCAAGGACACCAGAACACTCTGAGTTCCTCCTGTCCCCTCTTCTGTAGTCACTTGATGTGACGACACTCACCTTTATCAATCTTCCCAAAAAGGTTAAGCACCCTCACGGGCTGTCTCTTCCAGGCAGACACTATCTTGTACATCTTCACAGGATTTGACTGGAAAGGAAATAGAAAAACGGAAAGAGAGAAAAAGGCAAGAGGAGCTGTACTAGCTGTTCAGAGAGAGCCGGCTGAGTTATGGTTAAGTGGCTCCTACAGCTGTCTTTCCCTGGATGGACAGCACTCAACTGAGAGCCCCCTGGGACACACTTGCCAAGGCCTGGCTGGCCCTGGAGTGACCATGGTTGTCCCTCCCTCCCTGGAGGCCAACTCCACCCACTCCCCAGGTCTAGGTCTCTTGCCTGGACCCCCACAAATCTCAAGGGAAGTAGAGTAAGGTTTCTCTGAAGTTAGAGGATAATGGGTCCTAGCAGAGGGTAGCTCTGTAGGTCTCAGGCTCTAAGTACTCCAGGAGAGCAAAATCATTCCCATAGCCCAGCAGTCTGAAAGCCAGGTGCCACCAGGGCTCCTACTGGCTATATGCTGCCTCCGCCTTCATCACTAGTTTTTTTTCTTACACGTCTCAACCCCCCCAAAATGCCTTCTCTTATAAGGACACCCCCACTTCATGCAGGGGCTACCTCATTCCAAACTGCTCTCATCTCAAGCTCAGCTAAACGACACCACAAAGACCCCACTTCCAAATTAGGTTGCGTTTTCAGGTCCCTGGTTTATGACCGTGACAGATGTTTTGGGGAGAGGAGACACACACCATCTAGGCATCTTCACCTTGGACTGTTTTGACCCCTCTGGGCTTCACCCTTGAGACGGTAGCCTTGGCTGCACACAGGATACCATGTTGGCTAAGCATTCAAGCTGATGTGATGGGCTTATATATGTCTGTGAAGGGGGCTCCTGTCCTACTTGTGACTGAAAGTCATCCCTAGGCTTATAAGAAACAAAATGATGATAAAGGATACAGCTCAGTAAAGAGCTTGTGAAACCTGCGATCCAATGAGAAATTCCAGTACTCATTGAGTTCAAGGTGATCCTCAGCTCCATAGTGAGTCTGAGGCCAGCCTGGGCTATCTGAGACCCTCACGACAAAACACCAGTGGCATCTGCTCTCCAGCAGGACAGCAAAGGGGCATTATGGCAAGAGCCTCATCCTGTGATGGAGTATGTATGTATATCTGCCACGGCAGATACAGTATTGGTTGTCTTTACCCCCTCTAGATCGTGGAAGGCCTTCAGCTGGTGACGCCACTTCCTTCGCCTCTGCAGCAGTCCGCTCCGAGTGAACGGCAGGCACAAGAAGCAAACCCAGCAGGCCATGGCACTGATTCGCTCTGAGGTCCCGGGACCCACCAGGATATCCACACACTCAAAGCAGTAGCATCTAGAGTCAAACCGAAAACCATGGTGAGCCACATCATACTGCCATCAGGGGACCGCAAGGCAGACCAGAGGAAACCATCTGTTTCTCTCTGGGCTCTTCAGAGGAGGGGCAGGCTGCAGGCTGGGAAGGGGATTCAACAATAAGAGAGGTGCTGTGGGAGTATCCAAAATGGCGGCCCTCACTCCCTTAAGCCTTCCCACAACTCGGAAACCTCGACATGCATCTTCAAAGTTCTGGGAAAAACCATATATAGCAGCAGCAGGGAAGGGGGGACTTGAAGTCAGGGATGTAAAAAGGAAGATGTCCAGGACAGGTTAGGGACTGGCATGGATGGAGCTCAGGATGGGGATTTAACTGAAGGTAAAAAGTGCTGCCTATGCCCTGAACAATCCTGCTCACAACTCATGACCCACAGACCCTGGGCAGAGTACAAATGCCCACCCTTCTATTTCCTAAGGACAGAGGGGGTGGCCATGTGGTGGCTGTGCTCCTGAAGAGAGACATCACAGATGCACCATTTTCAGCTCCTGTTTCTCATATTGGGAGGGGTTCTTCGGGGATGAGAATGGGGAGTTGGGCCCTACCGCACCTGGTACAGTCGGGGCTCTCACAGATAAACAGGGTTTTCCCGAAGCAGCATATGGAGCAGTAACTCTGGTGCCCATCCATATCGTAAAGGAAGATGGTCTCCAGGAATATGTCCTGAGCAGGGGGCAAAGGTTATTGTGCAATCTCCTCCAACGGTGCCAACGAAGTCCCACCGCCTCCCTGCTTACCTTACACGGGGCACACATCCCCCCCTCAAATAAGGGGTGCTGCGTATACACCTGGAGACTTCCACAACAGAGGCAGATGTCTAGAGAGAATGGAGAAGGAAAATCGGGGAGAAGATGTAACAAAAATGAGAGAGACCAGGGAAGACCCAAGAACACACGTCAGGGTAATAGATCAGAAGACATCCCAAATGAAGGGCAGACATCTCCAGACCCCAGATGACTTTCTGTAGACGTGACATGTTGATACTAAAACTCCCATGGAAACCCAAGCATTCACATCTTGGCCAATCCAGAGAAATAGATCATTGACTGAGGAGCTTGGAGTCCCTAGCAGATACATTTTAAAAAAAGACCTATTTCTTTCAATATATACGCATCCTCTTCCTGCATGTACACCACCTTTGTACCAGGAGAGGGCATCAGTTCCCACTAGAGATGGTTGTCAACCACCATGGAGGTGCTGGGAACTCAAGAACTCTAGAAGAGCAGCCAGTGCTCTTAGCCACTGAGCCCCAGATGCAAATTTTAATTTTCCTTTTTCCTCCTCTTTCAGACAGGGTCACACACTTCTCAAGCTGGCTTCAACTTCACTATGACCTTGAAGGTCTACCTCTAACTCCTGAACAGTGGGCTACTGGGTGTGGCGACACACCCAGTTTATATGGTTCTGACGGAACCCAGGGCTTCCTCCAAGGTGAGTGACTTGCTACCAATCTCAAATTAGACTGTAGTGTTGGGCGATAGACACACACACACACATTTTTGTTGGGGAGAGGGCTCGAGACAGAGTTTCTCTGTGTAGCCCTGGCTGTCCAGGAACTTGCTCTGTAGATCAGGCCAGCTTCAACCTCAGAGATCCTCCTGCCTCTGCCTCCAGGGTGCTGGGATTAACAGTGTGGGCCACCATGCCCAGCCCAGATAGACAAAAATCTTCAACCATGTGCCTTAAACAAATCTGGTAAGGGGGATGGAGGGAGAACATCCTGTGGGCACCAGGATTGCTCCCCGCCTTCTGGGATGGCTGAGTGAAGCAAGCCTTTCTGGCAGGGATGACACTCTGTTTTGCTGGATCACAGGCAAGCGTGCAAAATCACCTTCGATGTTCCGTTGGTTCACAGTGACTTCATACCTGATGATCTCTGAAAGAGAAAAATAAGTAGCCTCTTTCCTCTGGCTCCTCATTGGAACATGCTTGGTAAACTTCTCTTCTGAGGTGTCTTGGACACCAGGAATCCCTTCACTGACACCCACCAAAAGCTTGCCCTTGTCTGGGCTTGGGGCATCCTGAATGATACAGGAACATTCCATGAATTGCCTGACTCTGAGGTCCTCATCCATGAGATAAGTTTATTACTTGGGTGGTGACTTACCTCTGCCTGGCGGGGGTGAGGTTAAGGACAGCAGCTCCAGGGAATCTTCCAGTACGACCTCCACGCTGTGCTCATCCTCACTGAGGCTACGGGCTGGAGACAGAGAAGACATCATCACTGGGAGCCCTCACAGGGACACAAGATGTATGCAGGAAAACAGTCAGCTACCTGTAGTCAATGCAGGGGTCAGGGGACCCACTCGACTGCCCAGCCAAATCATAGTGACATCCACCCACCTATCTGGGAATTAGGGACAAGAAAAACTGCAACGTCAGCTTCAAAGTACTTGATAGGAGAGGCTGGGCCCTGTGAGATAGCCTTCACCCCTCCACTCCCAGCCACCATGTGTTTTCCAGTAGGCCATTTCCCAGCACCCATATGGCCCTGCCTCCCTCTGTACCTGCTAAACCCCTCTAGGACCCACCTTCTTCTGACAGTCCAGACCCTCTGCTAAGGACCAGGAGGGAAGGGAAAGAGAGGAGGGGAGAGGGAAAGGAAGAAAGAGGCCTGAGGAACTTACTGGATTTCAGCCATTGCTCTTCCAGGTGATTGGCAGAGTCCGGGCTAGAGCTGTCCAGAGTCTCCAGGTCCCATGTTTCACCTGTCTTGGAGCAAGAATTTTTCCGGGAACCCATGGGTGTTGTTTGCTAGAAGGATCTGGGTCCAAGGATGGCGGGTGGCTTGAGATCTCGGGAGGTGTCAGCAGGGTCCTCAGAACGCTGCAATGCGACGAGAGACGATGGAGGGGGGGTGTAAGGTGCACCGGTGGGTCCCTTGGGGCCTAGTGGGGAATTATGGGGAGGAAAAGACGGGAAAGGGACCTTAAGGCAAACAGGGATAAGAGCCGAGTGCTGGAAGGAGCCTATTAAAGGCTGAAGACGGTGGGGTTGAGGGTGTGGGGGCAGGCACTCAGGGGCGGGGCTTAAGGAGCCCTGCAAGTGTGTGTGGGGGATTCAGGGAAGGTGTGGGGGTGGGGTGGGAGGGGGTGGGGCTTAAGGGGTTTAGGGAACCTTGTGAGTGGGAGGGGGTTCATGGTAGGAACGGGGGAGGGGGGCATGTTCTGAGGAGGGGTTATAGAATAGTGTAGGAGGGCAGCTCAGGGCTGAAAGAGGTGGGGGTGGGGGAAGGGAGGTTCTAGGTTTCACACACACATTGAGGTTATGGAGCTGGGAGATAGGGTTACTGATTGTATGGGGGAGATGGGTGGGGCAAAGAAGATTGGGTGGGAGTAGGGACGGCCAAGGGTTTCTGAGTGGGGGAGGGGGAGGAAGAGTGCCTTGGGTTGAGACAAGCTCAGTGTCAGAGTAGGACTTAGAGGACCATGTGGGGTGATGTTGTGACTGTCCCTGTGGGTGATGTGAGGACCTGCCAACCTCTGGCAGGGTGCTTCATGAATTATCCTCTCTACTTGGCCTAAAGGGTGAATTCATTCATGGACCCCAGTCCCTTCCAGGATACCACTGGGGCTATAATGAAGAGAAAACTTGTGGGGAGACCCTGGGGACACGGTTCCTGACTCCAGGCTTCCATGGGCAAGGCTAGTGACTTATATAAGGTTCAGGATGGAGGTCACTTCCCCGAGAGACACCTGACTTTTCACCTCAGCCCAGTGATCCAGGCCAGCGCCACTGTGGCCAGTCCCGTGTCACAGAGAAAGTGGGTAGATTAGTGAGGCAGTGATGGCACACACCTTTAATCCCAGCACTCGGGAGGCAGAGGCAGGCAGGTCTCTGCGAGTTTGAGGCCAGCCTAGTCTACAGGGTAAGTTCCAGGACAGGCTCCAAAACTATACAGAGAAATCCTGTCTCAAAAAAAAAAAAAAAAAACAAAAGGAAGGAAGGAAGGAAGGAAGGAAGGAAGGAAGGAAGGAAGAAAGAAAGAAAGAAAGAAAGAAAGAAAGAAAGAAAGAAAGAAAGAAAGAAAGAAAGGGCAGATTACAGGAGGCAGCCTGGTCCCTTGTCTACATTTCAGTGCTAAGAAATAGGGGCCCTGAGACACCACATTTGCCCAGCTTGCTAAATGACACCTCGACCCCCACAACCTGCCGCCTAAGCTCCCTGCACACTGATGAACACTGTATGAGACAGGAGAAGCATCTGTTTTGATATTTGGCACAAGCTACACATTTCTACAGATCAGTCTTCAGGAGAGGAGCCAGCGCAGTCACCATACTACAGCTTCAGACTCTGGAATAAACCTGTTACAATCTGCCCTGGCCCTTCCTGATCTACTTTTTCCCTTTTTATCTCTTTTTTGTTAGGGTCTCCTGCATCTCAGGCTGGTCAGGAATTCACTACTAATCAGGTCGAGCTAGATTTCTCCTCTCCTTTCCCCACCTCCTCAGTGCTGAGATTACCGGTTTAGCCTCAGCACCCAGGGGTGTGGCACTGCGGATTGAACGAGGCCTTTGTGCTGTGTGTAAGCAGCGAGTCCCCACCAACTGAGCTGCAGAGCCAGACTTCTGTTTCATTGTTTTTAACATTTGGGTTTTTTGTTTATTTTGTTTTTGAGACAATAGGAGACTGGCCTCACACTCTGAGATCTGCCTGCCTCTGATTCTGCTGGGATTTGGATTATCTGTTTCTGTTTTTATTTTTTTGAGACAGGGTTTCTCTGTGTAACAGCCCTAGCTTTCCTGGAAATTGCTCTGTAGACCAGGCTGGCCTCGAACTCACAGAGATCTGCCTGCCTCTGCCTCCCAAGTGCTGGGATTAAAGGTGTGTGCCACCACAGCTGGAAATTTGGGTATTTTTTTAAAGACCCTGCAAAGAGGTTGGCCAGCTCCCTTCATTGCTTTTTTTCTTACTGAGTTGAAGTTCTTTTTGTTAAAGATACTAAGATATTATCATGTAAATGTTAGAAATATTTTATTCATCTTATTAATGCTTTTTTTTTTTGAGTCCAGTCTCATTTTGTAGACCAGGCTGGCCTGGACTTCACAGAGATCTGCCTGCCTTTGCGTCCCAAATTGGAATTTGCTGGAATTAAAGGTATGTGCCGCCACACCCAGCCTTGTTTGTAGCCCAGGATGTCTTGTAATTTACTGTGTAGGCTAGGCTGACCTCAAGCTCAAAGCAATCTTCCTGCCTCTGCCTGCTGGGTAGTGATGGCAAGTACAGGCAGAAACCATCCCTTCCAATATCATTAGCGCATTTTAGTGTTTTGTGATAGTTTATGTAGAAACAGCTTGTATTAAGATAGACCTATTGCTCTTTTTAAAATTATTATATTTATTTGTGTGTATCCATTCACATGCCTGGCATAGTGTTTGTACAAGTCAAGTTCTGACAAAGAAAAACAAACCAACAAACAAAAAGGCCAGCAAGATGGCTCAGTGGGGAAAGGTGCTTGCCGCTGAGCCTGACCTGGGTTTGGAGTTCAGTCCTCCACATGGTGGGAGGAAGGAACCAATTCACAGTCTTGTCCTCAGACTTCCAAACACACACACACACACACACACACACACACACACACACACACTCACTCTCACACACACACGCACGTGCGCGAGCTCAATTTTTTTTAAATTCTGTGTTTAGGCTGGAGACATGGCTCAATGGTTAAAAGCACTTACTGCTCCTGCAGAGGGCCAGAGTTCCATGTGAATTGGACTGCAACTCTTTTATAATTCTAGGTTAAAAAATATCTGAGTCTAGCCAGGCACTGGTGGCGCACGCCTTCAATCCCAGCACTCGGAAGGCAGTGGCAGGCAGTTCTCTGTGCAATTTGAGGCCAGGACAGCAAGGACTATTACACAAAATAGAAAACAAAAATCCTAAATTTAGATGCTAAATCCAGACAGCGGCTTACCTTTCGGCTTACCTTTCCTTTACTTTCTTCTTTTGTGAAAATATGAGTTGGGGCCCAGGAGTCAAGGCCAGTCTGGTTCACACAGTGGGATTCCATTGGAAACAAGAATGGGGATCAGCCAGCTGTAGTAGAATCCAGCTGTGGTAGTACAGGCCCTTATAGCACTCAGGAGGCAGAGGCAGGAGGATCTCTGTGAGTTTGAGGCCAGCCTGGTCCACAGAAAGAGTTCCAGAACAGGCTCCAAAACTACACAGAGAAACCTTGTATCCTCTGCCCCCCCCCCCACTCTCGTGCATGCAAAAAAAAAAAAAAAAAAAAAAATGCTGCAAGAGCCCAGCTGGGGGCTCAGCTGGGGACATCCTGGTCCAGCAGGCAGCCAGCACTGCACAAACCAGGTTCATGCCTGTCATCCTTGGCTACATAGTGATTTCCAGGCCCACCTAGGCTATATGAGGACCCCCCCCAAAAAAAACAACAATCAAATAATAGCAACAAAAAACAAACAAGAAATCCCTCAGTTGTGAGAAGTACAGAGTTCCTTTATCTTTTTTCTGGCTATTTGATATTTTTGTTGGTATTGGGAATGTTTTCTATGACATCACCAATTTTAACCTAAAATTAACACACGGCTGTCAGGGTGGGATTCAAAGCACGGTGGGCGTACAAACCTGGCCGGCCTACTGTCACAGCCCCCGCCTCCCCGTCCCCCCAGCAGGTCTCCACCCCAATCTGCGTCCCCAGCACCTGGCTCCAACCCACCTCTGCTGAGGACCGTTTGGTACTTTCCATCCGTTTGATTATAACTGTCAGAGTCCCTTCTAGCCCTGACCCAGGCCACCTTCTCCTTTGCTCTCTGCACCTCGGGGGGTGGGGGTGGGAGAGTAGCTGTTCTGGGCAGGCCCCCAAGCTCTAGGCAACCCCTTTGGGGTAAGCACATTGAGGGTCATGGATGCAGGCCACGTGCTGGGGCCTCTGAAGACCCGAGGCATCGTCCTACCCAAGCACTAGGCCCCAGTGTGGATGCGGCTCACCCTGGTCACCTCTTCTAAGTTTAGCACTTCCAGACCACCTGCAGGTGTGGACTGTCACAAAAACCCCCACATGTGACGGAAAGTCCAAAATTCTACAGGAGTCTTTCTGTTGATGTCCCACAAGAGGCTGGGGGACGCCTGGCTGCAGCAGTCAGTGCTCAACCAGTGGGGGGGAGGGCGGGGGGTTCTGGAACAGCTTCAGGCTTTTTATAAGAATGTAAAGTGCAGACTTCGGTCTATGATGTGGTTCTTAGTTCTTCTTTGTCCATTGTGTTTGGCAGAGGAATCCCCATCTGAGAAGCCCCCACAGAGGGAGACGCCCCTAGCTAGGGAGAAACCCCCAGGCTGCAGGCATGACACTAGGCGGGTGATTAATCCTGCAAAGAAAGCAAGGGACTGGCGGAGCCACGTGAGGGTCAACACCTGATCCTGTACGCGCACTGCCTCTGGCATTGCAGGTGCTTAACGGGCATATTCTGGAACTTGCAGACCCAGAAGTTCCATCGGTGCCCTTGGTCCTCTTGAGATCCTGGCAAGGTGTGAGCGGGGTGCACAAGACTGGGGTCTGTGTCTACTCCACCTTTGTGCTCTTGAGACCCTGGCAAGGAGTGAGTAAAATGCAAGGTACTGGGGCCTGTGTCCACTCCACCATGTCAGTGAGGTCAGTGAAGAGGCTCTCTGTTCTGGACAGCAGAAGTCACGTTCAGTGCTGTGCTGACAGGCACTGGGGGTTGATGTTGCTGCAGTAAATACGTACCTACAGGAGACAGCAGGAGAGGCCAGCTAGCAGCAGCCTCCTTCAGGGCTGAGGGACAGGTGGTGCCTCTCAGGGATGCAAACCTATCTTGGCATCACCCAAGGCTTCCTTCACAGTACCTGTGGGAGGCACAGTGCTGGTGTCATTGGCTCCAGAGCCACTTCCAAAGGTGCTAA